GAACAAAAGGATTTCCATTTAATTAGTAACAGTAGGTCCATCGTGTTTCACATTTTTAATCCCGCAAGGGATTGCGCTAACAGCTTTTTTCCATGTAAACATTTTTACTAAAATGATATTTCAGCAAAATGAACAGCGTGAAAGAGAACTTCTTGTCGAACATTCAATCAAAAACGAATTCCTACATAGATTGAATCATAGAGATTGAAAAGCTCTATTCACAGATAAATTTAATCTAAAGCTTGAGATAAGAAAATTCTCGAAGCCAGCGCATGCAGTATTGATAAACCAGGTCACAGCACTATTTTAAACTTTGTTCTGCTTTCAAATTTCATCATAATAAAGCAAAAGTAAAAGTTTTAACTAGGTTGACTTGTGTCATTTATCCAAGCTTTGCTGTAGGAAATAAAAATAAATCAGATCGATCCTGTATTCAACTACTAAGAGATGAGTCTCAGCACTTTTTTATGACTGATGCATGGCTTACTATGTATACGAATAGTTCTCAAAGATAAAAATTTATTAGATAGAAGTATCTAAATCTATATGAATAACAATGGTTTCCGAGACTTCCCATTCTTCAATGTCATTTTTGCTAAATAAAAGTGCTACAAGAAATGGAAATGTGACCGAGATAACTCACATGTAAGAAACATAGTGTTATTATATCTATGAATGGATAGAACTGCATGAATTGGAATGAATATAGTTGAAGATTGTAGATGATTGATCAGAAAAAGAGCTTATCGTCACATCAGTTAGTAAAAGACGAAATAGTTACAAAACCGAGGTAAATTGAGTTATATAAAAATTTATAACTATGAGACTACATTCGTCACTGTTTTTTTCAGAAAGACTATGAATTCACAACGCACACAAAGTGGTATCTTATCTCATTTAGTGATCCTAGTAGGCAACTTATTGAATCTTTAGCCTTACGTGTTTCGATTCTGTAGTTTGTTCACTTTGAATATATTCAAAGCGTTCATTGAAGCGAACATCAAGATTTCTTAATGCTGTATTTTGAGTTAATGGTAAGTCAAATATTGAACACCTCGTTATCCAACGGCATGATCAACACAAAGAAATTCTTCATCAGTAATCTGATTTCTGCATAGATGAAGTTCAGTCAATGTTTCTTTGATACATATTACTATATAGTAAAATGTGTCTGATTGAAGCACTTTTCCAAGATATTCAGCTACTTTACTTGTAACTTATATTCAGCTAGAGCAAGATGTGGAAACTTTCGAGTAATGACGGCATCGTGCACGATAACTGAATTATCACAATAGATAAAATTTTGTTCATGACGATGCACTGTGGATTAGGACTGTACCGCTCATGCTCATGAGCTGAGGGTGTGGGTGTAGGGTGTGGGTGTGTGGGTGTGGGTGTAGGGTGTGGGTGTAGGGTGTGGGTGTGTGGGTGTGGGTGTAGGGTGTGGCTGTAGGGTGTGGGTGTGTGGGTGTGGGTGTAGGGTGTGGGTGTGGGTGGGTGGGTGTGACAGACTATAAGATGTACATCCGCATCCACAGCCACAGTTATAGCCACACACCCACACCCTCCTATGGAATTTTTCTTGATATCTTAACATGAGACTTAAAAATGTACTAAGATACTAAGAACGTTATCATCGTCCAAGCGAAACAATGTCAGTGACAAATCCACCGATTGAATATCCAGATTTATGTGAAGAAGGAAAAGGAAAAATCCAAGGTCTTATAGATCCACGGCAGGGTCCATCTGATCAAAATTCAAAATGTCTTACTTGCGCTGGTTCTTATATTGAATGTCCACGACATTTCGGTCACATTGAATGTTAGTATTTTATTTTATTCTTCATTTCTTTTTAAA